TTTGCTGCTATTCATCCAGGACTGGACCGGAGCAAATTAATCAACTTGGCTTATCTACTGGGCAGCGATTATACCGAAGGGATCCCGACTGTCGGCTGTGTAACAGCCATGGAGATTCTCAATGAATTCCCTGGGCGTGGCCTGGACCCGCTCTTAAAATTCTCGTAAGGTTTTTTTTTTTTCATGTCTTTAATTCAGGTTATTTATATAAATACTCAGATTAACAAATAGATTTTTTAAAAAACTGTTTAGGTATGTCCCTTGTATCCTTTATTATGTTTAGGCATATCCCTTGTTTACTTTATTATGTTTAGGTATGTCCCTTGTATCCTTTATTTCTCGAGGGCTTTTATCGTGAAGGGGTGTTAAATTTTGTCAAAGTTTTTTTTCTGCTTCTGATAAAATGATCATATTTTTCCTTTCATTTGTTTATATGGTGGATTACATTTTTTGAGTTTTAATACGTTGAATCATCCCTGCATCTCTGGAATGACGTGTACCTGATCATGGTGGATGATCTTTTTGATGTATTCTTGGATTTGGCTTGCAAATATTTTGTTGAGAATTTTTGCATCTGTGTTCACAAAGAAAATTGTTTTGTAATTCTTGTTCTTTGTTGGGTTTTTATGTGTTTGGGGATCATGGTAACTGTGCTCTCACAAAATGAGTTGATATTCCTTCCTGTGTCTATTTTGTGGATTTAATTTGAGGTGTCAGATTGTCTTTGAAAGTCTGGTAGAATTCTGTACTAAACCCAGCTGGCCTTGAGCCATTTTTTTGGTTGAGAGTTGTATGTATCAAGAAAACTATCCATTTCTTTTTGATTTTCCAGTCTTTTAAAGGTATATCTGGATTTCCTTAGTGTCTCTTGTTATGTTCCCCTTTTCATGTCTAGTTTTGTTACTTTTAGATCTTTTCTTTCTGTCTTTTTTTTTAAGTTTTAAGTTTGAATAAAGGTATATCAGTCTTTTTTATGTAGGCACTTAGTCCTGTGAACTTGTCTCTTAGAACTGCCTTAATTTTATCCCATAAGTTTGGGTATTCATTTTCATTCAACTCTGGAAAGTCTTTTAATTTCTTTCTTTATTTCTGTTTTGACCTGTTCCTCATTTATCAGTGAATTATTCAGAGTTAGTAAGCGTTGTGTTGCTTCTGTTATTGATAATCTACTTTTAATCCTTGGTGGTCAGATAGGATGCAGGGTATTATTATTATTTGTTGTTTTTTTTTTTTTTATATTTGTTGAAACTTGCTTTGTGTCCTAGTATGTGGTCAACTTTGGAGAAAGTTCCAAACTGCTAGAAGAAGTTTTCTTTTATGTTTGGGTAAAATACTCTATAAATATTCGCTAGATTCATTTGGTTTATAAGTCAATTATCACCAGCATTTCTCTGTTTAGTTTATGTCTAGATGACTTGTCCTTTAGTGAGAGTTGGGTATGGAAATCTCGGCTATCACTGTGTGAGGGTCTATGTGTGATTTAAACTATAGTAGTGTTTCTTTTACAAAGGTGGGGCCCTCGTGTTTAGGTTATAGATGTTAAGAATTTTGATCCGCTTCAGCTGCGTTGCAGGGCTCAAGGCCTGCTGTGGAAGAGTTGCTGGGCTCTATTGGAAACATATCGTCCTGGCTGTGATTGTGCTTTTTACGTGTTAGTTTGAACTTAAAGGCCATTTTGTCAGATAAAATGGCTACACTAGCTTCCTCTATAGGCCCATTTGCTTGGAATATCTTTTTCCATTCCTTTACACTGTGTCTATCTTTGATGTTAAGGTGTGTTTCTTGGATGCAGCAGATGACTGGATCCTGCTCTTGCATCCATCCTGTTAGTCTTTGTCTTGTTATTGGGGGAATTTAGAGCATTGATGTTGAGAGATATCAAAGAACAGTCTAAGCATCTGGGTTTCAGAAGGTTTTACTTCTAGCTGCTGATATCTGCTCTTGTCTTGTTGAGTATGTGTACTCAAAAAAAAAAAGTCTTCAGAATAAAAGAAAGCATTGCTTCCCCCTGCATTTTGTTATTGATGAAGACTGCTGTTAGGGTTCCTGACCTCTAGATGGCACCCAAGTCCCTCACTGAGCCACTGCAGGCTGGAACCCAGTTCCTGGTACTAATAATACGCGAAGAAGTGGAACTGAACGATTGGGTAGTCGAGGAGCATGTTTTAACTTCCATAGTGTTTTCTACCAGTTTTCTGTTGGCACACTGTAGTTACGTACCTCAGACCTCGGTAGCCTCTACCAGCAGCGCGTGTTGGCTTTGTTCCTGACTCTGAAGCTTGCTCAGGGTCTTTTGTTCCTCTTCCCTTCCTGTCTTGGAGCAGCTCAAGGACCGGCTGAATGTTTCACATTCCAGGCAGTGAGAGACAGACAGAATGCTGACAGGACTTTGATCCTCTCCACCTGGACCTCTGCCTGAGCACACACCTCAAGGTGTGGTGGCTGTAGAGATAGGAAGTGGACAGGCTTGTTTCAGGCTCCGTGGCTATCACTTCCTGATCATTATCTAGTCATAGCCGTGGGACTAACCTCACTTCTTGATAGGAGTGTTTAAAAAAAGTGACTTTCCTTTAACTTGTCATAGTAAATTAACATTAAGATGGAAAAATTTGAAAATGCACTTAATTTAAAAAATCTAAACTAACAGGCTATTTTTGCTTAGAGCATTGCCCAGTACACCGGAGAACAATAGTTCTTCCTACTATTTAGGGTTTAAAAAAACCTACCCTCTTTCTGCACATAAACCCCTGTCTGTACTATCCTACTCTGTGTGGGCTGGTATCTGCGCTAAAACAGCCATTGCGTTCTTGACTATCTCGGATCCACTAGACCATCCATTTCACTGTCGAGAGGCGTGGAGATCTGTAGCTTTGTGCTACTGTGGTTGGAGCGGAGCTCTGGGAGTTTGTCATCTGACAGATCAGCCCCACTCTCGAAGTCTTGAGGCAAGATGCTTCTGTGTGAGTCACTTCCTCTTCGGAGAGGTCGGGACTGACGTGACACTTGAAATAGTTAACACGGTGTGAGATCTGTAGCCTGTAGCTTAGTATTCTATACCACATACCTGTGCTAGAATTACCACTTGGAATTACATTTCAGAACTTTACGTTTAGCTCTTCCTCTCCAGCGTGGCAACTGTTATGGCTCCCTGCCTCGTAAGTAATTGCTTCCTTTATCATGCAGAGAGTGGTGGCAGGAAGCTCAGAACAGCAAGAAGGTTGCAGCCAATCCCCACGACACGAAAGTGAAGAAGAAGTTGCGGAAGTTGCAGCTGACACCTGGCTTCCCCAACCCTGCAGTTGCGGATGCTTACCTCAAGCCTGTGGTGGATGACTCCAGGGGGTCGTTTCTGTGGGGCAAGCCTGACGTGGACAAGATTAGAGAATATCCTTTCTTAACACTTACGGGACTATTAAGCCAAAGGTTTGCTGGGTTTTAAGTGTAAGGGACAGGAACCTAGCTTTGTTTTTTCTCCAGTGTTCTATTTATTTGAGGCCCTATTTGTTCTTTTCCTCTTTAGTTTTACTGAGATCTGAGATGTCTTTTTTTTTTTTTTTTTATGCTGGGGAATGAGCTCAGGGCTTCATGCATATGAGGCAATTGTCCTTCAATAAGAATCTTTTTTTAAAATTATTTATTTATTATGTATACAGTGTTCTGTCTGCATGCATGCCTGCAGGCCAGAAGAGAACACCAGATTCTCATAGATGGTTGTGAGCTACCATGTGGTTGCTGGGAATTGAACTCAGGACCTCTGGAAGAGCAATCAGTGCTCTTAACCGCTGAGCCATCTCTCCAGCCCCCCTTCAATAAGAATCTTAATTTGAAACAAGCAGCTACAGCATACACGGCATGACCACATGTTTACAATTAAGTATTCCTCAAAAATATGGAAGATTACTGGCTTTGCAATTCTGTGCATTTAAATAATAATTTGGATGGCGGTTTCAACACCGATGATAGATTTAACCCCAGTACAACTTCCTTTCTTAAACAAATATTTATGGTATCCACTCCTTACTTTTATTCTAGGTTAGCCATGCTCTGTAGTGAGGAGTCTGTGATGTCCTAGTATAAATCTTTGAGTGTCTTCTGCCTTAGGAGATTGACCAGAACATGCTGCAATATGATATTGTCAGAGTGGCTTATTTTGCCAGCTTCTGATCTGACCACTTCAGTCTTTATAAATATGATTGTCCCTGGGGATTCAGAGAGTGGCACCAATGGTTGACTCTTGGATCTTTTTGTTTACTACTTGTTAAGTCTCGTTAAAAAGAAAAAAAATCTGTAAATCTTAACTACCAACACATTTTGTCAGAGATACTTTGGCTGGAACAGGACGAAGACAGATGAATCCCTTTTTCCAGTACTCAAGCAACTGAATGTCCAGCAGGTAACTGTGGATTTCTTTACATCCTGAGTGACAACTGCAGTTGGTAGGGTGGTTGCTGTCAATGTCCAGTTAACTCTTATTCCAGGGCAAGTAACCGAAGGTTTGGAATGGTGACGCCTTAAAGAATAGACTGAAACAGAAAGGAAAAATTGGGCCCTGAAACCCTTTTTTAAATATCACTGTTAACCCTGCAGTGTCCTTATTTATGCTGACTTTGAAAAAATTCTAGTCTAATAAATGGTTTCATATTAAGATGCTTGAGTTGAAATGTATTACTTCTCTGGAGCTGTGTTCAGTTTTTAAAAGCCCAGGAAGTAGTCACTCCAAAACAATTCTAATCATTCGATTTTCTTCAAACACTAACATTTCAAGTTACAACTTAGGGTCTGGTCTATCTATTAGCATTTCTGCAAGAGAGGTTTTGTAGGAGGAAAAATGCCCTTTCCGGTGGCCTTCAGTTCTTCAAAATGGGTGTCCATGATTTTCTTACCCGTTTGTCTTGCTCACGTCGGGTAAGCCTTCCTTCATCTCAGAAGCCACTCATGAAACATACATGTAAATAGGAATGAAACTACAGTTTTTAGGATGGCAAAATCAATTCCCATTAAGTTTGGGTCATTTAGGGAAAAAATCCAATACAACTGGTCTTAAGAATATTCCCAGGGGTTCCCTCTTGTTTGTTCACCTGATGGCTTTTACCTACCAGAGGTAGAAAGAAGCTCATTAAGAATTTGCTAGTGACTGGTTATTCTGTAATTTCAGACAAATGCCATTGTGATACATTTTCCCTTTCAATTATTCATTTTTTTCTCCCTAAAATTAGAAAGTAAAATAGTAGATTAAAACTGCTACCTCCCTCCTAATAGTTGTTGGCCTGGGTTTATTTTTCCCTGGTTTCTCATGTTAATCTGCTCCTCCACATAAATGCCTCTGGATAGAGTGGGTCTCTCCTTCCTCCTGACTCATCAGCATACACCTTCTTCCGTGGATTGCATTGCTTCTCACAGTTTTGGGGGATCAGCGTATTTCTCACAAAGGAGTTCATATTGGCTCTGTTTCTTTTGGGGATTTTAGTTTTTGGGGTAATTATGAATAATGCTGTTATACACACACACTAGGTTTAAGAGTATCTTTTCAGCCGGGCGTGATGGTGCATGTGCATGCCTTTAATCCCAGCATTAGGCAGAAGCAGGTGGATCTCTGTGAGTTTGAGGCCAGCTTGATCTACAAAGTGAGTTCCAGGACAGCCAGAGCTGTTACACAGAGAAGCCCTGTCTCAGAAACCCCCCCCCCCAAAAAAAGAAGAAGAATATCTTCTTAACAGTGGATTTTTGTTTCCTGTGGCTTTTGATGGTGCCTAACTTGTCCCTTGAAGGTACTGTATGATGCTAATGTTCTTAAGAGAAAAGCATTGGATGACTTAGACATTGACTCTGAAATTCTGTTGCTGCCAGAGAAGAGGATACAGTTATTATAAAACAAAGCAAAACAAAACAAAACCCAAAAAACCCCACAGGTAGACTGGCAGGCCATGAATTGAATTCTTAGAACTAGTAATCCAAACTGAGTGATCAGAGTTGAATTTATTGCTTTGGTCTAGAAGCTACTCACTAATCGGATTCATCATTTTATTTTATTTTAGACCCAGCTACGAATTGATTCCTTTTTTAGATTAGCTCAACAGGAAAAACAAGATGCCAAACACATAAAAAGCCAGAGGCTGAACAGAGCTGTGACATGCATGCTGAGGAAAGGAAGGGAAGAGGCAGCTGGCGAGCTGGAGAAAGAGATTGGCACCCCGGATAAGGCAAAAGGAAACCCCCCAAAAAGAAGCCTGTCGAGCCCAAGAGAAACATCAGACCCCAAAAGAAGGAGGTCTTTAGGAAATGGTGGGTTTCTGGGGGACCCCTACCTCTCAGAGTCCCCCGGGGATTCAGGTGAGGATGCAGAAAGTTCATCTGAGATGTGCGCACAGCAAAGAAGAACAGCGGAGTCACCAAAAGTCCGCCACTCGGATTTGCCCAGCGTGGAGAGAGATGCTCACAGAAGGGACGTGTCTGCTGTGTCTACTAGCAGCTCCAGTGAGGACGATGGGGACGAAGTCAAGGCAGTCCTGGTGACTGCTAGACCTGTATTTGGGAAGAGAAAAAGGAAGCTAAGGTGAAGGAAAGGAAAGTCTAATTTAAAAAAAGCCAGCAGTTTGTAAGGATGATGTTCGCAATGATTATGTGTTGAGAGCATGAAATTAAATCTATTTGTACAATCTCCATTTTGAACGTGTAGTTTTTATTTTATAGTTTGGTTTCTAAAGTTTATTTTAAAAAATCAAAGAACAGAAAAACCTTACATGAAAATGTCTGTGTTAGTGTCTACATTAGTATCCACAAACAACATGGAAACATGGTATGTTTTGGTCAATATCTATGGCGTACAGTTATAGCGGTAACCAGACTAGTTCATCTGGTTCACTGCTACAGGGATACTAGACCTTACTTCTTCCAATGGAGACCCATCTCTTAAATGTTTCACAACTTCCTCAAACAGCTGTGGGCCAAATGTTCAAACACGAGCATCTGTGTGTGTGTGTGTGTGTGTGTGTGTGTGTGTGTGTGCGCGCGTGTGTGTGTGTGTGTGTGTGTATACTGCGTGTGTGTGCCTGTGTGTGTGTTTAACACATGCTTTCCTAGTAGAGACAGATGCCTTACAGAAAGGCATAGCTGAAGGCATCCGTCTCCGTGTACTCTTCAGTGTAATAAATGATTATTGTCATGTTGGTTAATATAATTGATTGTGGAGTTTTGGATCTTGTAAATCTTAGCACTGGGGACCTCATGATTTTACAAATAACTCTCTGAAAGAGGTAAATAATTTTTATTTATTAAATCACTATTCATGCTTGGTTTAAACAGAGTCAAAAAGGGAGCGTGTCCTCTGACCAAAGCCACCTGCCTTTGCATAGCAGTGTGAATTCCTCAGGGTTTTGGAATTCCAGGAATGTTTTACCTGTAATATTTATTCCCCAAATACATCTTATGTGCTTTTTATGTTCCTGTTTTATATGAGATAAAGCTGAGAAATATAAGAATTAAATGGCCCCAAGTCATAAGTGGTTCTTGACATGAATAATGAAAACCGGGTTTTGGGATGCCTAGTCCTATCCTGTATATGAAATGACAGGAGTTCAGCTCTGTGTACATCACGGTCTTAAAGTATGTCTTAGAAGTTGTACTCACATTTCTGAGTGTGCAGTCTTGCTTGGCTTTGATTCCTCCTGCAACATGAAAGTGAAAGGAAATTTATATGAGCCCCGAGGTACACGCCTCTGTGCTGGCGTAGAGATGCTCAGAGAACCATACCCCAGCCTGCTTATTCAGCCTCAGTGAGAAGGAAGCCTGGTCTTCTGATTCTTGGGTACAGAACAATGCTACACCCATGCTGATGCATAGGTTGCATTCTAAAATCTGTCTGTGTTCACACCCAGATAGGTGACTTAAAAATTGCACGGTCTCTATTTTATAGGACTTCGTAGCCACAGAGTCTTAGAATAACTCTTGGCACCTGAGCGGAAAGCTTAGTTTGCTTCTGCTTGCGTAGCCTACATCCTCACTGAAGATGTGGTGTGTATGCACGATCTCTTGCTGTATTCCCAGGTGTCCTTCTTCAGCCTTTGCTTTCTGGGCTTTGCAACGTCACTGTTGTGCAACCAGAGGCACAGAAGCTGCAGCTGTTGGGCCCTAATCCCTTCAGCTCGGTCTTGTTGCCAGGGTATACAGTAGCGAACTACCAGCTCTGGGGACAGCCTGGGACATTTTCAGAGGCTTCAGCAGCAAATCAGAAGTTGTGGATGGTTCTATTTCACCTTCTGTAAACTCAGCTGATACTTAGGTATGTCCAGCCTTAACACTGACTAAGTACTCACTCTAGGCAGACAGTATAATAAAGACCGTCTCCTTTAATGAGAGAAACGGAAAACTTGGTGGAGGTGGGAAGTCTTGCTATTCTTTTTAGCTGTGGGATCTTGATTTTATTTAACATTCGTGTTTATTGTCTATTGTCAGTAGGGAAGTGATTTGGCTTCTGCCTTGCAGGGGCATGCAACAAAGAAAAAGATGGTAACAGCGAAAAGTAGGAACTTTGGAAGAAGGATGGAAATATTGGGATTATTTGTCACGAGACATTAATTAAATTGAGAAGTAGACACAGCTAATTGTTTTCAGAGACTAACAGCTCATTTAAGCCTATTGCAGTTACCTGCTCTAAGTGAATAGCATATCATGCTTGAGCTTCTTGTAAGCCTTTGCTGGGGTGATGTGGACTCATAAACACCACCTGGTGGTTCACACTAGCCTCACACTCACTGAGATCCACCTGCCTCTGCCTCCTGAGTGCTGGGATTAAAGGTGTGCTCCACCACCATCAGCCTCTCAAACAGGTTTTAGGTTTTGACCATGAAGCCTTTGCTTTGATTCTGATGGGTACTATGTAGTATCTATGACCTTTCTTAAGTCATGCTTTAATATGATACTTTACTAAAAATCATGCTTTAATATATGATATTTTACTATAATTCATGACCTTAAGACATGCTTTAATAATGAAATTTTACTATTATAATTCATGACTTTCCTTAAATCATGTTTTAATATATGATATTTTACTATAATTTTCTCAGCTACATCAGAAGTTAAACTGTGAGATAGGTACACTTACTACACATTTGGAATCCATTTTGAATTGATCATGAATTTGATATTTTAGTGAATTATGTGCTTGTTGTTCAAGAAATGATCAAGAAAACATCAACATATCACTACTCACTAATTTAGCAGCTGATGGAGCCAGAAACTGAAAAAGGTAAATATTTTGTTTCTTCTTTTAATTAGACTATTCTGTGTAGAAATACCATTAATAGACTCTAAAAACTCACCTTTTCAGTCTTCATTAATGGGAAGTAGGGTTTATTAATTGCATATTGTATCTTGGCTTGTGCTTACTAACCTAAAGTACCTCCAATAATGTTCAATGAATACTGTTAAAAGTAGTGCTCCTGATATAGTAGGGATAATTTTGGCTGATAATAATAATTTAATCTGTATAAGATAAAAAAGATTTTATAGGTTTTCTTTGATCTGTAAAATTTGACATTTAAAATCAGATACTAGTCACCAAACACGTTGCTGTGGTTATTTTTAAAAAGTTTGAGAGAGAGCAAAATAGTTCTATATAAAAAGTAAAATTTTAGTGATGTTTGCATGAAAGTTGAATTTAAGGCTACAAAGTATCTTTAGCATGTATTTATCATCTTTTTGACTATTGATTATAGGCAAAAGTACATAATGTAATTTGGCTTTTAGATGTAAAAATTTAAATTTGAATATTTGAAACTGCTATACCATTTTTACAGTCTTGCATATGATGTATGACTTTGTTTAGATTTCTAAATATAATGATCTTTCATTGGGATTAAAGTTCTAATTCTCATATAGACTAGAAAAATTGCCGTGTTTTTGTAAAGTAGTTTTAACCCAGATCAAATTGTCTTCCATTTTCTTTCTTACTTTCTTATCTATATACACTGTAGGTGTTTTCAAACAACCATAGACCTGCTTCTTTCTTTGAGACACGCCAGGTTTAACAGTTGGCTCCTACATAGTTGAGCATATCTGTAGGCAGACAGAGTTGGATGCAAGTAGAGCTGGCAGCCTCTTTAGCTTAAATGCCAAGACTTTGCAAACCTAAAGGTGCAAGTTGTAATCTCATAGACAATCCACCTCTTCATATAATTTGAATGCAGAGGTAATTTCTCTGTTTTATGAATAGAATTTTGTCATTTTCATGGCCATTAGTAACAATTCTTGGTTTCAAAACTGCACATGATGGTTTGGCAAACTACAACTGAGGAGTAAGTAGTTCAAGATGAGTTTGAGGCAGGGTGCTAAAATGTTTTACAATAGGAGAAGACATATTCCCTATTCATCTATGTAGCTAAACAAAAATGCAAACGTCTGTTTGGATTTAGAATGCTAAGGAGAAGTGTGTGCTGCTGTAGCCAAGAAGAAGACGTTTTGTTGGCAAGGTTTCCACCAAGTAGAGGAACATTGGGTTCTCAAGTACTGAAGGATGTTTATCTGTCCTGTCCTTTTTATACTTAGTACCGCGGGCTTGGAAAAGATGGACTAAGACCATAGTTAAGTCCTCATATTTCAGTACTTGCAGGAAGATCTGAGAATTATAAGATATCACTTATTTATACACAGATTGAAACTAGGACTAGTATGAGAGCCAAAAGTTCATTCCTGTGTATGTCTAGGGCTACAGTGTATTTAACTCTAAAGCTTTATTTATCTTAATTATTCTAAATACATCATGTTGCCTGCCCCATGCCACAGTCCCCAGAGCTACTAGTAGATGCAGCAGAATTTTGTAAGATGGCAGCTCCTGAGAATCTTCAGTTGTGGAGCCGACTACACATCCCCCTACAGTGAATGTCTCTTGATCCCAGTGCACAGTGATTCCCAAACCTGTTGATTTGGATTTCTTGGAGATAAATGGTTGGGGTGGGGGGGGTGAAGGAAGAACAGAAACAGGGAAAGCTTTCTGAGAGTAGAGGGAGATGGAGAGAGGGCAGGAAGATCTGTCAACTGTGTCTACTACAATATAGATCAAAGAAAGCCTCAAGTGGGCTGATACAGGATTTCTCGAGCAAAGTTGGCAGTAAGAGTTGGGATGAAGGCAGCAGTCATAGTCTTAGTTGGGAGAACCCAACTAAGGAGCCTGCACTTTTGAAGTGTATGTCACCCCTTGGGGACAGTAGTTGGCATTGAATAGAGACATCCAAAACCAAGTTTTGGACACATCTGAGGTAGATTGTATTGGTAAATTTAAGTGCTTTTTATTTGACACAAGGGTATTGGGGAATATTAGTTAAAGATGTGTTACATTGGTTTATGCTGTGGAATATTTGTTTAATGATGCAAAGATATATTGCATTTGTTTAACTCTGAAGCTGTGTTACTTTGCGTGTCTAAAACTTCTGATTTGTCTAATAAAGAGTTGAATGACCAATAGCTAGGAAGGAGAAAGGACAGGTGGGGCTGGCATGTGAGTAGAATAAATAGAAGGAGAAAAAGAAGAGGGAGGAGAGAAAGGAGAAGAGGAGGCGGGGCCAGCCATCCAGCTCCACAGCAAGTCATGGAGTAAGAAGTAAAAAGGAAAAGCCCAGAGACAGAATGCAGACAGGACAATCTAAGTTAAAAAAAAAAAAAAAAACTGGCTAGAAGTAAGCCAAGTTAAGGCCAGGCGTCTGTAACAAAGAATAAACATTTGTGTAACTATTTGGGAGCTTGGTTGGCCCCCAAAGAGCAAAGAGTAAGAGTAATGAAAACAACACACAGGAAATTAGTTTATTTAGCATATGTTTATTTGGGTGGTTATTTTTAACCTTCAGTATGTGTTAATGGGTGATTCTCATATTATAATTGTATGTCTCCAGCTAGTATAGCAAATATATTGCCCTAGACTGCAGCGCTGCACCCAAGCCTCATCTCAACCTTAGTCCCCAGGCCAATCTTGTGCAAGGATTCTCTGATTGCAAATGTCACTTCCTTTAGGTTGCTTCTCTTGATTCAGCCAACCCTCCGGGGTACATCAGTGCACTTCAGAGATGCCTCTTTTGTAATAATTATCAAATTTCACTGGTGTTTATTTAATACCGTTCCCTTTTTGATCCAAGCATCAATTTCTCAGTGCAATTTCCACTCTTTTTGTTTTTCACTTGTACTTTGACCAATCTCAATAAGAAAAGATTTTTTTTCTCCTGTAAAAATACAAAATATAGTATCGTTTGGACTATTTGATTGAAACTAAGCAGACCAACAGACTGGATGGGAATATTTGTGGAATCTTCTCCGAAGCCAGTTTCAGAAAACAACAATAACAGCAAAAGTAACCTCTAAGATTTTGAGCTGTCAAAGCAGCAGAATTCTATCTTTTATGCTAGTGTGTGACAATTTACTAATCCCAAAATCCCTTTAACACATGGCATTCTCCTTCGAATAGAAGCTTCAGTTGAATGACATTTTCCCCTTCACTTAGTGAGGTGGTTTGTACTTTACATTTTGCTCACAGGTGCTCATGACAGCTCTCAAATGGAAGCATTAACTCACTTGTCATAGCTACAAAAGTCAGTTTCTCTCTCTCTCTCTCTCTCTCTCTCTCTCTCTCTCTCTCTCTCTCTCTCTCTCTCTTCTCTTTCTATTCTGTTTCTGTTCTCTGCCCCTGATATGGTATGTTCTTCTGTATTTGTGTTGCTTTGTGTTGTAGCAGCTTTGGCCTACAGCAGGGCATAATATCGCCAGGCTGGAAGGGATGTATATTTAGAGAGAGTAGGCGGAGTCAGAGAGCCGCCTCGTAGCTGCCAAAGGACACAGATGCCCTGGAACCTTCCTCATAGGCCACAGACTTGTGACTATACAAAATGATAGAAATGGGTTAATTTAAGATAGAAGCGTTGGTCGGGAATGCACCTAAGCTGTTGGCCAAGCAGTGTTGTAATTAGTATAGTTTCTGTGTCGTTATTCGGGTCTGAGCAGTTGGGAAATGAACCAACAGTCTTTGTTTATATGACCCTTTCTTCTGAAGGCTGCAGTCTAGCAACAGAGATGATTCACTGCTGAATTCTTCTCAGGAAAAGCCCCATTGGAATGTGGCAAAACTTGGCTTTCACTTCACACTTGAAATCCCTTTTGTTCTCAGGAGAACAAGAGTACCTGGTAGATTTTAATCCCTGTCAGCAAATATTAATAGCTGCAAAGTGGCACTGACGACTATTTTGTATGAAAGAGCTTTAAAATAGATAATCGCAGGATAACAAAGTAATTGCAAAACACTTTCTTCCTTAATTTTTAAATGACTTTGCTACTCCAGTTAGCCAGTGTGCCTTGGGGTGGCTGTTCCTGATTCTTGAGCACTGAGGTTGCAGGTGGGCCACCATGCCTGAGCTTCCATGGCTTTTGTAATGGCACTTTCTCCACTCCTGTTTCTCCCCTGCCTGTATTTTAATTTGCCTTGTATGATGGATAGAACTGTGCTCTTTTAGAGTCTTTAAGAAATCAGTAGTTATAGTTGTTTATTATAAACTCTCTCTGAAGTCTTTATAATAGAAGACTCATATGGGTTGTTGAAATTTCACTTCCTTATGGAAGTAAAGTTGCCACTTTCAAAAAGAAATGATCTCTGTTTACTCAGAAAGACAAGGTGAAAGGTCAGTCACACCTGCTCTCACCCGCTTGCTAGACCTCCTCACTAAATATGGGCAACTAACCTTGAAAATAATGATAACATGAAAAGTCAGATACAGCAGACTCTATCAGCAAATATTTACCAGTAAAGCTTTGATATCAAAGACTAGAGATCTTAGAGAATCTCATGGGACTTGGTGGGCTCTAACACTTATTGATCCTTTGTTGCACAGGTGACTTGTCAAGGGAGTGTTAACCTTTGTGAGGAGTAAGGAGGTACAAGAGGAGAGATTCAGTTAAAAGTTCATGTAAACAGTTGATGTCTCTGCTTTTCCCTAAAGGATTTCCACAGCCAATGTTGACACCGTCACCCCATCTGTCTCAGCAAACCAAGTGCATGTAGATGGGAGTTAAATTCAAATGAAACAAATTACCAGCATTATTTGTTTCCTGAATGTGAATACTTCTGGCTGTTAAGGACGGTTTCAGATAAATGTTTGGAAGGGCATCGCTCTTGCTGAAGAATACTCATTGTTCATCTTTCTGCTTTTTCTGCATCTCCGAGGGCCAGTGTTTATGGGAGAAGGAGAGCGTGGAGTGGTTGATGCTATGATGTTATGGCTAGTACCAATATAACAACATGAAGATACATGGCTATAAACAGCACAGGAGTATATTGTTGAGTAGAATTAAGTATCTTTGATTTTCTGAATAACCAGAGATCATAAAGTATAGGTTACTATACATTACCAAAACACTTGGAGTTGTACTGTGAAATTGCAATAGACTCAAGATCGTATATTTTCACCAATGTTTATTTTAATCCAGTTTATCGTGTGTTTTTGAAAACTCTTACCAATTATTTTGTGCTTTATTTAGTGTTGCAGACATAGGTGGTGGTAGTATCAACTTCAGTAAACATCAAAGAGATGGTGAGAGCCTGGCATATGAGGAGTTATGTTAAATTATGAAATATTTTTGTTCTTCTATTTCTTAAGTTGAGGGTGGGAGTGTTAAGGGTATGCCACAGTCTAAGTGTGAAATGTGTAAAGGTCAGAGGACAACATTGAGTTAGCTCTTTCCTTCTACCTCATGGGTTCTAGAGATGAATTTGGGTCCTCAATTTGGCAGCAGGTTCCTTTACACACTGAGCCTTCTTGTCCCCATGGAGTATTTTTAAATAGTTTGCTAGTTTATTGCATCTAAAGTCAGTGAATATTCAACAATACCTTGAACTGAGAAGAGCTGTATTTCCATCAGAGTTTTCTTTTTGTGGGACTTTAAAATACTTTATTATTTTCTGTAAGCATGCAAAATAGTGGGTTCCTTTATGATGTCCTCATGCCTGCCCAGTGTCCTACTCATCCTCACCTACACCACCTTTCTTTGGCTCCCTGCTCTGCGCTTCTTTCCTTTCATATCCCCAAGCAGTCCCCCATCTATACTTTAAAATCTAGGCTCCACATATAAAATATAACAAAATATTTGCCTTCCATTCTTCTTTTCCTCTTCCAATAGTCCGTCCTCCTTATATACAGTCCCCCTTATACATTCATATTGAAAAATCTAGGAAGATCTTGATTAAAACTTAAATCTAGATTCTCGTGTGAAGAAAAGCTTGTGATATTTACCTTGTGGGTCTGGCTTGTTTCACTTAGCGAGATTAAAAACACTGCCCTTTTTTTTTTTTTGGTTTTGCTTTGTTCTTTCCTTTCAGAGATCAGAGAAGGTGACGATGACAGGCAGGTGGTTGCAGAGATCATGGCAAGGAGTTTTCTTCCAACTCAGATAACGACTGTTTCTTGGGAAGGCTTTCACTTCGCTGGTCATGAGATTCGGATTACGGAAGCCAAAGATTGTTACGGTGCTGTTGTCTGGCCCTCGGTATCATTTCTTAAGGGTTCGCTGCGCCCCAGTTGCTTTCCAGGTTTTATTCATTATTTTATTTTACCTGTTAGAAGGAAACAGGTTGCAAGGTTCTATTTTGTGATCTCACACAACACCAAAATGTAGACATCACGTGATGGGAAATTGCTTCCACAGTTAAATTTGTTTCTGACTTTCTTGACATTTGTGGGCTCAGTAAAGACGTGGATGCCTTTAGCTTTTATGCTATGAGAGATGAAAAGAGTAAGCGCTTTCATTTCTTATTTATTGCCGCTGTTTTGAGTAAAGCAAGATTAAAGGATGTCTATTTGAGACTCACAACGAGGACACTCCATAGGCCCCCTCTCCTTTACCTCTTATCTCATGAAGGGCAGCCGACCACTACTCCCCCCCCCCCACCTTCACACACTAATTGGAAGCATCTGGTGTTGTTAGAACTTAGAAGACAGTTGGGTGGTGGTGGCACACCTTTAATCCCAGCACTTAGGAGGCAGAGGCAGGTGGATCTCTGTGAGTTTGAGGCCAGCCTGATCTACAGAGAGTTCCAGGATAGCTAGGGCTGGTACACAGAGAAACTCTTGTCTAGAAAAAAGAAAAAGAAGTTCGAAGAAGGTCAAATTTGAACAACCATACCCTGTTTTCACTCATTTCCGTTTTTATTTTCAACAAGGACTTTTTCTAGCTGGCCAAAATGTTGGACTTATCAGAGGATGAAAATTTTCTGGAATGGTGTATGTTAACATCCACAAATTTACTCATACCCAGATGTACACATGAGCAGATCATAATATCTGTGGCATATTGACCTAATAGAGTTTAATTTTACTAAAACTACTTCAAACATCCTTTCCTCTCAATTTCCATAGGCCCTTGTTCTCTGCTATTTCCTGGAAACACATGCCAAGCAATATAACATGGTTGATAAAAATGTGATTGAAATTGGAGCTGGGACAGGGCTTGTCTCCATTGTGGCAAGTTTACTTGGTAAGTAGGTATTTCTTTATTGACTGGAGTTGGTCAGAAAACTAATGATCAAATACTAGTTATTTTTGCTTTCCAGTGTGTTATGATCTGGGCTTATGTGAAACTCCTTAATTATATATTTTTAAATATTCATTTATTTATTTTATGGATATGTGTGCTCTATCTGCATTGTGACTTTATGCCAGAAGAGGGCATCAGATACCACTATTCGTGGTTGTGAACCTCCATATGGTTGTTGGGAATTAAACTCAGATCCTCTGGAGGAGTAGCCAGTGCTCTTAATTTCTGAGCCATTTCTCCAGCCCCTCTTTGTTTGAAACAGACCTCAGCAAGAAAATCTACTACTTTACCATCCTTTTGCTGGTTTCTTTCCAGAATTTTCCTTGTAAGTAGTTTTAAATCTTCATGTGGAAGGAGAGCTTACAAGCCTAGGTAAGGGGTGGAATCAGTCATTCTGCTAGATTCCTTTCAGGGATTTGGGAGCCCTGTTCTTTTATGAACATGCACCTGTTAAAATAGGAACATAGAAATCATGTGAAACTCACACCTCAGCTTTAATTTTTAGGGGTTTGTCCTTAGATTTGTTTTTTTTTTATTTCCATTCTCATTTGGTCCTACATAAAAGGCTCAGAGTTTTTCTTTTTGACCCTTAATGATCATGTTTATTAGAGGAATGGAGAAAAATGAAAATTCAAATAAACTTCTTTTTAGGGTTGGAAGAATCAGGTCATTTCTTAATACCATGATGCAGGCCCCTCCCTTCCGGTGTCTTACACATTTAAAGATGTGACGGTACATTCTGTTTTCTGCACAGGATAAATCCTGTGCTTCAGCCAACTCTTGATGGAAGGATGGCTAATACAATGTTGTTAGAGGAAGGGCTGCTTGTTGGTTCCTGACTGCTTAGCCCCAAAGTAATCATATGGAAACTGTATTAATTAAATCACTGCTTGACCCATCAGCTCTAGCTTCTTATTGGCTAAGTCTTACATATTAACTTAATCCATTTTTATTAATCTGTGTATCATCACATGGCTGTGGTTTTTACCGTCTACAGTTCTGGCATTTGCCTCCAGCGGGGTTACATGGCTTCTCTCTGACTCCGCCTCTTCTCCCAGCATTCAGTTTAGTTTTCCCGCCTAGCTAAGTTCTGCCCTGATAAAGGTCCAAAGCAGTTTCTTTATTAATTAACCAATGGCTTTGACAGCATACAGAGGAGAATCCCACATCCGCAGAATACCATTGTATCTAGAGACAAAGGATATTGGAATATTCCACTTTGTTCATGTACACCTCTCTTCATGCATTGACTTCTATAGTTCTAAAGAACTGGATGGTTCTTTATATACCATCCAGTATCATATTTCAATGATGTTTATTAGTGGGTGATCTGCCTGTAAGTCCTGGGTCATTTCTCCACCTAGATTTGCTTCTCCAGACCACACTGGTGAATACTAGGAGCTTCTTTGTGGTCCTTGTACTAGTTAGGTTTCTGTTACAATGATAAACACCAGGACCGGAAACAGTGTGGGGAGGAAAGGGCTTATTTCATCTACAACTCTCAGGTCACATTTTATCACTGAGGGAAGTAAAGGCAGGAACTCCAGGCAGGAAACTGGATCAGGAAATGATGCAGAGACCATGGAGGAGTGCTGCTTTATTGGCTTGGTTATCATGGCTTGCTCAACCTGCTTTCTTATACAACTAAGTTCCACTTGCTCAACCTGCAGGGAGCTGGACCCCCCTACATCAATCATTAATTAAGAAAATGTCCCCACAGACCTGGCAGGACAGTTTGATGGAACCATCTGTGTCAAGTTGATAGAAAACTAGCCAACATGGTTTTAAGTTTGTTGCTAATCTATGTTATTCACCAATTTAATTCATTATTATTAATAATAATTTTATTCTTCTAAAGCATGCAGAGGTTTGGGGCTCTTTTTAGAAAGTACCTGTTTAGCCTTTGTCATTGACCTTGGATCATTTCAATGAAGCATTCTTTTCTGGTGATCATTCTTCTCCTAAATGGAGAACAATAATGATGAGCTAAACAAAAAACCCAGAGGGACTGGAGAGATGGCTCAGCGGCTAAGAGCATTGCCTGCTCTTCCAAAGGTCCTGAGTTCAATTCCAGTAACCACATGGTTGCTGGAGGTGGCTCACAACCATCTGTAATGAGATCTGGTGCCCTCTTCTGGCCTGCAGACATGCACACAGACAGCACATTGTATATATAATAAATAATAAAAAAAAAACAAAACAAAATCCAGGCGGTCAGCAAGATACAGAAATTCCACAAGATTCTCTTTTCTTCTTTTTTAAAAAGAGGGGCAGAGAAGTGTATTAGCATCTATTCTGAAAAGCCCTTATGTGCTGCCCAGTCTTTTCTTTGAGTCTGGCCATTGTGAGGAATCTCAGTGCAGGCTGGTTGAAACCTGACTGGTCTTATTCCAGGAGGCTCACTTTTCCTACCTTCCTTTCTTCATAGGCGCTCGTGTGACTGCTACAGACTTACCTGAATTACTTGGAAACCTGCAATATAATATTTCCAGAAACACCAAAATGAAATGCAAGCATTTGCCCCAGGTTAAAGAGCTGTCCTGGGGAGTGGCATTAGACAGGGACTTCCCCAGGTCTGCCACTAACTTTGACTACATCCTGGCAGCCGATGTCGTCTATGCCCATCCTTTCCTGGAGGAGCTTCTCCTGACCTTTGATCATCTCTGCAGAGAAAGCACCATCATTCTCTGGGCCATGAGATTTAGGCTGGAGAAGGAGAATAGATTTGTAGATAGATTTAAGGAACTGTTCGACCTCGAGGAACTCTCTAGTTTCCCTAGCCTGAATATTAAGTTGTACAAAGCTATGAAGAAGAATCGGAGGAGTGCATAGTGCGTGCGGTCTGTGAATTAGGGCATGGGTATGCCAAGGTGGTTTCTAGTAGATCCTTGCTTTAAAGAAAACACACACGCCCACACACACCACTATAAGAATACAAGTTGAGTCTAAACTTGCCTTATTATAGGCAAGGAATTTTACACACACACACACACACACACACACACACACACACACACACAGTAGGTGCATCTATAGGACCAAGACAATTTGTTCCCAAGTCTGTCTGCTCAGCACTCTAATTACACGGTAACAAACTTTCAGTAAAAGTCTCATCATTGCAAAACAGCGATTTTCAATAATGATGTCTCTAACTGAATGTGATAACTTTATTTCTTTTTGAAAATGTATCTTAGATTGGCCTTGAACTTGCAGCCTCCTGAGAGTTAGCATTCCAGGTATGTAGCCCCATACCCATCCATGACGTTAATCCTTTTAAATATAGGCGTAAATGATTATGTTTTTAGACATCGAGAAACTGACATAGTGCGATGTGCACATAAATCTAAAAGGGCAGATATATGATATATATATATATATACACACACATATATGATAAAAGAGCGGTCAGTGCTAGATGTCTGTGCTTCCCACCAGTGCCGGCTTAAAGGGGGACTGTCATGTCCCTTGGCAGTTTGGACCTCTAATGTACCTATTGAATCAACCAAGCATATGGAACATTTCCCTCTAACAGATAAAAAAATATGAACGGAAAGAGCATAAGAATGCCTGAGATTATTGTTTGTTTTTGTAAGCTAAGTCAAATTCATTTTTTTCACAGAAATGGAAAGAATTATAAGAACTGTGGGTTGGAAGTACATCAAAAGATTTAGGCTCCTAATCTCAAATAAGTAGTCACGGCTTAAACAGATTTACATAGATATTTGAAATCTTCTCAAGAGGTTTTCATGTGGGCCTTAGAGATTAGAATAAGGTTTAAAGTAAAGTCAGGTGGGGCGGTGGTGGCGCACGCCTTTAATCCCAGCACTCGGGAGGCAGAGGCAGGTGGACCTTTGTGAGTTCGAGGCCAGCCTGGTCTACAAGAGCTAGTTCCAGGACAGGCTCCATATCTACAGAGAGATCCCTTAAAGTCAGTGTGGAAAGAGTAAAGAATTAGGCCTTTTTGCCACGTGGCTATCTGGACTGTGTTGCTGGTAACACACTGCAGTATCCTCAGCTAGACTGTCGTGTGCTTCTCCAGGATCAGTGCTTTCTTCTTGGCTAGACACTGGCATGGTCAGACATCTCTACGATTATCTCCTGGGCCTGCACTGTAAGTTAGGATGCAGGTACACGGGTGCATAGTTTTCTTAGGACCACATCTCAACAGTCTTCCGTTTGTCCTTCCCATATTTGTTTAGTGTTCAGCCTACACTGGGCAGTGATATCATTATTCTTACTTCACAGATAAGAGCAGAGACCCAGGTTACACAGCTGTGGAGTGAACTAATAGAAACAGTCAAACTCAGGTCTGTCTGAGCACAGAATCTGCGTTGATAATTCCAGTACTGTCTTTATGCTTTGAAAAAAGTAACTGTCAAACAACCAAGGCCAGCTCTTCAAAAGGAATAGATTCTCAAAGAATAGCAAATATATTTTAAAATGAAAGCTAACACTGTCCTAAATTTTCTACCTATGAAAGGAGACGTCATAGAAGGCTGTGGCGGAAGGTACATACAGCTGTACACTCCTGGAAGGGTACCCGAGGTAGGAGGAACAGTCACGTAGGCCCTCCAGGCAGAAGCCTGCCTATCTACTTGAAGAACCATCAAAGTGGTGTGGTAGAGGGGCAGACAGAGAGACTGGTGATGTCTGAAGTCGGAGACAAGGCAGGAAGTGGGTTATGGAGGTCCTGTGCAATGGGCTAGGATCTCCAGATACAGGCTCTGGGAGAGAACGTGATGGGTAGTTATTAGTTAGGCTGGGCAGCCATTGGTTATAGTCTATATGGTCAGTGGTTAGGCTGTATGGTTGTGATGGAGAATTGACCCACTCAGTGCTTGACTTGGAGTGGCCTGTGTCAGGGTATTTCTGATGGGAGTAAGGCACTTGGGTCTTTACACATCCCTGCATCCATCCTGGGAAGACTGTTTTAAGGCTAGTGATGGTTGTGCTCTATCTACCTGCGGGATTTATAGCTGCCTGGTGATAAAGTCATTCTGAACTTATCTGAGCAGTTCGTTATTGTTTGCCACATCATCTCAGGCTCCTCAGAGAATTCTGTTTTTTTTTTTTTTTTTTTTTTTTTTTTTTTTTTTTTTTCCCTGCTGAAATAGAGAGCCCTTGCATTGTACTAAGTAAAGGAGTAGAATGATGTTATGGCCTGTATTCTTGTCCTGCTGTTCTGAGAATAGGATCTCAAAGTCAAGAGACCAGCTGGGAGCTGTGGCAGCCATCCAGGCAGACGACAGCAAGAACTCTACACGGGGGAGGTGAGATCAGCTGTTCTAGCTGTACTCTGAAGCCAGAGGCAGCAGAGTGTTCTACCAGGTGGGATCTGGAATGTAAGCAAGAAAGCCAGGGCTGCCTCTGAAATACCCCTGTGAGCTGTGGGATATGGACGTAGTTTAAGGTTCGGAGAAGGCTTATGACGCTCCTTCGCAGAGCAAGGGGGGGGATAAAGGGCTGAGCCCTGGGGTTCACCCACATTAGGGGGCAGACAGAGAGATATTTTCAGAATTTTTTTGGAGCCTATGCCTCCTTCCTCAGTTGTAGCTGTATAAGTGGACCCTGAAAAATATGAGTTTAATGGCACAGTCTTCTATTAGTAGATATGGACCTGCTAATTTCTAAAAGTTGTCTCAGAGGAAAGTAAAGGTGTGACTATCACAGGGCTGGCAGCATAGCTCTTGCTGTGGTAAGCTGGGAGAAAAATAACCCACCTTCACTCTTGTTAACATAAGTGTCTGGGTATTGTTGGGAAGTGATTTTGAAATAGGGAAGATAAAGTATCCTATCAAATCAAAGACTGTTGGGACCAAACCAAACATTTAGTTCCTTCAAGCTGCTCTTTTAAAAACAGATTCATACCCATTGTCTTGCTCTGTTTACATTACAGCTTTCACTTGAGAATTCTAGCATCAGCCTCTTGTGTGCTGCCTCTGTCCGGCTTCATCCTCTGTCCTTCTCCTTCACTCTGTGGTTGCCTGGTCATCCTGTTTTTGTTTCTGGTTTTGTTTCCTTGCAGCTTCTCTACGCTTTTCTAGGTTCAGTTTTACAGTAATTCATTTTCAAAATATCTGATTTGCTGAGACCTTTTCTATCTCACAATTCTCCCTTTAAAAGTGTGTAGGGATTCATTTGTCAACTTAAGTCTGAACAGCTCACGTTGTGACATTTGAGAGCACTGAGATTTTTTTTTATTAAGATTTGTTTACTTACTATGTGTGCAGTGTTCTGCCTGTATATCTGCCTTCAGGCCAGAGGAGGGCGCCAGATCTCATTACAGATGGTTATGAGCCATTATGTGGTTGCTGGGAATTGAACTCAGGACCTTTGGAAGAGCAGTCAGTGCTCTTAACTGCTGAGTCATCTCTCCAGTCCTGAGACTATGTTTTTAACGATATAATTTTTTTTAGTAACTCATTGAATTTCTAATTGAATAGCGTGCTAGCTATCAATATTTAATTCAAATAATTGCAGAATAATTATTGCTTCAGAGATGACGAACTGACCTGTAAGTAATGTTCTTCTACAGCTTAAAAACGACACATTGATAAACATGAAAGGAGCTTCCGGGACAACTTTAAATATGAAATCCTGCCATAGAATTTAATGATACTTGCTCGGTGTACCTTTTTAAAACCAGAACATTGGAAACATGTTTTTGTTCTATATTCATGCCTATTTTTCTCTCTTTTTTGGGAATTACAATGGGTGACAGTGAGTAACCTGACATTATTGTACAAGAAAATGCAGAGAAAAGTGAAACACTCTCTTTTGTTTCAAGACTCAAATTCCAGGGGCTGGAGAGAAGGCTCAGAAGTTAAGAGCACTGACTGCTCTTCCAGAGGTTCTGAGTTCAATTCCCAGCAACCACATGGTGGCTCACAGCCATCTGTAATGAGATCTGGTGCCCTCTTCTGGCATGCAAGCATACGTGGAAGGAATGTTGTATACATAATAAATAAATATTAAAAAAAAGAACCAATTCTTAAAAAAAAAAGACTCAAATTCCAGGAGGTTGGTGTTCGATGAGGATGCCCTAGCTTCAGAAACCAGGCCTAACTGGTTTTAAGCAGTTACATTTATATGTAAACATCATCACTGGGTAGGATTTTGATACGAAAGAAACTTGTGTTCTAGTTTTGAAAATAAACAAGGAGTTCTGGGTTCTAAGTAGAAAAAACAAAAGATTGTCTACTTTACGCAAATTAGACAAGTGGGCTTACACTTAAGACTCTGGGAGTTCATATAAGAAGAGATGAACATTGTCCAGTATGTATATTTTTAACCAAGTTATAAGGCAACCATAGGAAACAAAATCATTGTGAGATTTGGTAAATATATCTGTATAAGAGTGTGTGGGATACAGGCAACAGAAATTTAAAAACTTCAGGCATGTGTGTGTGTGTGTGCATACGCATGTGTGACCTCAGTTCTATACACATTCTTTGCAAAGCTTGGAAGTTGTTCACATGTGAGCTCCATTCCCAGGTTTGGCATCTGAGTTTGCACTCTGAATTAAGTCTAGCATGCTACCTGCAGCCTGGCATCGACATTTACTCTATTCCTAAGTCCTACACAAAAGCAAAGGGTGTTCTGTACAATTGTATGGTAGTATTGGTGGGACAGGGTGTATTTGATGGACTTAAGATTGATTCATTCTGGGATCGTATTAACTCCATCTTTAAGGGTTCCTGGACTGTGTCTTACCATTTACTGGGATGGTGTGTGGCTGGGTAGTGTTCAGATCACCGACACCTGCAATGGGTTGCTTATTCTACTAAACTCACCTGTGGCCTCTGTCATAAGCACTGTTTTTATTGGGTACCCTCAAAGGTAGGGATTCCCACCTCATCCCCGCCTCAGTCTTCTCAATTTCTTTGTTTCTAAGGCAGCTGTCTTTCTAAGAAATCCAATCAAGCCTCACAATTGCATTGTTCATCAAGGAATTTTAAAGCTTCATTGAAAATGGAAACAGATGTCCAGGGTGGATATGATGAGAACA